ATTAAAAAAATTGGGAATATTGTAAATTTTTAGATTTTTTCAATTTTGGAAATTTTATAAATTTGAAATATCTACAATATCAAAATCTTGGTAAATTTTAAGGATTTTGGGAATTCAAAATTTTCGCAAATTTTGAATTTTTTTGAAAATTTTAAGAATTTTTTGAATTTTAAAGATTTTATAAAAATACAATAACAGAATTTTAAAGTTTTAGTAAATTTTAAGAATATTAAAACTTTTGAAAATTTTATAAATTTTGGAAATTTTAGAAACTCAAAACTTTGGTACCTAATTTTATAAATTTTGAAAATTGTAAAAAACAATAAAAGTTTGATTAAATAACATGATTTTAAAATTTTTATTAATTTTATAAATTTTGATAATATTAAGAATTTTTGCGAATGTAAAAATTTTGCAAATTTTAATTATCTTGAAAATTTGTGTAAATTTTAACAATATTAAGAATTTTTAAAATTTTAGAATCATAAATTTTGTTAATTTCCTGTAGTTTGGTAATTGTAAAAGCAACAGTTTGATAGGTATGTAATCTTAAGAATTATTGGATTTTGTTTTTAAATTTTGGGAATTTGAATTATCCAATCAGTTTAAATCACTTGTAATCACATCTCAAAATAAATGACAACCTCTGCCACTTAAAACCGTCCAAAAGCGATTTTCGATATTTATCCAGGTTATTATTTTTTCGTCTGCACAGTGTCACTCAAATTGAGTGACTCAATAATGACTAAGCATTTTATAAAGTGCTATATCACAAGAGTCTGCAAAGAATAACAACAAATGTTTTTCCATTTAAAGATTGCAGGCACCATGAGGCTTGAAAACAGATGTTTTCTAACCGTCTATAAAAAATTAAGTTATGTTAAACATTTTCTTTCTATAAGGATTTGACCATACTTAAGCATTATTATAATCCTTTCTAAGAAACCATCATTTTGCTTTTGGAAAAGAACAATGAAAAATTAGGATTAAGACCACATTTAAATTAGATTTTTATGGGTATGATTAAGAGAGAAAAAAATACTTCTGATTAAAAATATGTTGCTTGACATATGTCATCATATTAGTAGGTGTGTTTTAAACAATAGGTTATACAGGCCACTTGACTATCCCATACAAATCTTCTTTTATTATTTTTCACGCTTTCTTGATTTTGTCGATTAAATTGATGTCAATGATAACTTTTGCGACATTTTTACGTAACTAGTTGATAATACACTTTTTTCAAACTATGTTTGCTCATCTTAAAGGATTGCATAATTAACACGAATAAAATTAACAAAATGACCATGATAAAGACCTTAAAAAATGATAGGAAACATTCAAAATCGATTAATTAAATTTAAAAATAATAACAACTATTAATCAAAGTCTGGTCTAATTTAATTATATGGGTCAATTTTTTTGACAAACAAGTCACTTATGACGATGAAAAAATTCCATTTGAAAGATCAAAGGGTCAATTTTACATCAATTAGTTTAGATTTTTAAAAAGTTACCATGCATGGTTTATAAAAAATAAAGATGATGACGATAAACAAACTTGTACATTCTAAGCATATCTTATCGAGCAGTACTACTAAGAAAGTGATAAATATTTTGCCTTGAAAATGGGTATTGGAAAACCCAAAATTAATTTATTTAAATTCGTCAAAATAAATTATTATTTAATAAAAACAATGTTTTAAAAGAATTCATAAAATAGTAACAGTGTAATACTTTTATTTTAGAGGCAATATGTATGATATAAAAATTTAGTTTGCAAATAAGTGTTTCAATATTATTTCCGGAGATATTCATTTTTGTTCTATTAACATTGACCTAAAAATTCCAAACTATAGTACAAATACAATTTCTTAAAAATATAAGGAAGTATTTTTAAACTTGCTATTTGGGTGAATACTCAAACTAACAAATTGTATACGAGCCCTAACCACATAATGTTCGGACACTTCATAATTTATACAGAAATTTTTTTCGTGAATACTATCTCAAAATTATTAGAAGTTATGAAAAATTCAGCTTATTTTGGCATATACCCCTCGAAGCGATTTTTATTTTTAAAAAGTTTACCTTTTATTTTTAGCTTTTAAAAAAAGGCTAACTTTTTAACTTTTTTTTGTATGAGTAAAAAAAGTTATAAATGGACCCATTAAAAAGAGCATAAAATATTATACAAACCCTGAAAATTTGGTAAAAAATAAATAAGTTATAAAAAAGTATAAGTAATTTAAAAATGCTATTTTTAAAGAGTTTTTGCAATTTTCTTAGGAAACGGGAGATTTTGCAGATATATATATATCGCTATAACTTTCTTATTATTTATACAATTTTTACCAAATTTTCAGGGTTTGTATAATATTTTATGTTCTTTTTAATGGGCCCATTTATAACTTTTTTTACTCATGCAAAAAAAAGTTAAAAAGTTAGCCTTTTTTTAAAAGCTAAAAATAAAAGGTAAACTTTTTAAAAATAAAAATCGCTTCGAGGGGTATATGCCAAAATAAGCTGAATTTTTCATAACTTCTAATAGTTTTGAGATAGTATTCACGAAAAAAATTTCTGTATAAATTATGAAGTGTCCGAACATTATGTGGTTAGGGATCGTACCTATGCATATTCTAAATTATTTAAATTTTTTAATATTTCAGAAATTTTGTTTATTTTTCCAATTTTTAAATTTTGTACATTTTTAACGTATTGAAATTTTTGAAAATCTTATTAAATTTTGCAAAATATTAATTAATTAATATTATTAAATTTTGGAAATTTTTACAATTTTGTAAATTTTTCAAATCGAAAATTTTGGATTTTTGTAGCAGTACACTGTGCGAATTTGTCCCATCATTTTTTAAATTTATCCCACTGGGCAAACTTTATATTGTTAAGTTATGGATATTAAAAAAAAATTGAACAAAAAAAAATTTCAAAAATTATAAAAAAACCTTGTTAATTATTACAATTTTAATAATTTTAGAAATTTGTCCTACCATATTTTAAATTTATCCAACTGTGCGAATTTTGTAAGTTTATACAATTTTCAAAATTGAAAACTTATGCCAATGCAAAACATTTAAAATTAAAAAAAAATATATAAAAAAATCAAATTTAAATAAAAATTGGAATTTAAAAATCAAAATTTACAGTTTTATAAATTTTCAAAAATTCTGAAATTTAAAAAAAAATCCAAGGTTTGATATAATTTTTGAAAATTCAATTTTTTTTTAAATTTGAATTTTTTTTAATTTAAAAAACTAATTTTTTTACAATTTTGAAAAAATGTATTAAAAATTAAATTTATCCCACTGCAAATTTGTCATAGCATTTTTTTAATTTATCCCACTGTGCGAATTTTGTAAATTTTTACAATTTTGATAGTTTGCAAATTTTTTAAATTTTGTAAATTTTTTTTATTTTAGAATTTTGCACTGTGCAAATTTGTCCTATCATTTTTTAAAATTTATCCCACTGTGCGAGCTTTGTATTTTACATTTTGGATACATCAAATTTTAAATACATTTAAAATAAAAAAAAAACAAAAACAAAAAAAATGAAATTTAAATAAAAATTGAAATTTAAAAATCAAATTTTTCAATTTTGGAAAATTTTTAAAATTGAAAATTTTTTAAATATAAAATTTTTTAAATATAAAATTTTTTAAATATAAAATTTTTTAATAAATGTATTGTAGGTATTGGAAAATTTATGCCATTTAAAATTAAAAAAAATAAAATATAAAAAAAAATAAAATTTAAATATAAATTAAAATTTAAAAATCAAAATTTTCAATTTTTTGCAAAATTGTCAAAATTTTCAGTTTTATAAATTTTCAAAAATTCTGAAATTAAAAAAAAGATTCGAGTTTCCAAGGTTTGATATAATTTTTTTAATTTAAATTTATTTTAAATTTAAAATACTATTTTTTTTACAATTTTGAAAAAATTAAATTTATCTCACTGCAAATTTGTCATAGCATTTTTTTAATTTATCCCACTTCGAGAAGTTTGTAAATTTTTACAATTTTGATAGCAAGCAAATTTTTTAAATTTTGGAAATTTTTGTTATTTTAGAATTTTGCACTGTGCAAATTTGTCCTATCATTTTTTAAATTTATCCCACTGTGCTAACTTTGTATTTTACATTTTGGATACATCAAATTTTAAATACATTTAAAATTAAAAAAAAATAAAATACAAAAAAAAAATTAAATTTAAATAAAAATTGAAATTTAAAAATCAAAATTTTCAATTTTAATAAATGTATAGGTATTGGAAAAAAATTTAAATAAAAATTGAAATTTAAAAATCAAAATGTTCAATTTTATGCAAAATATTCAAAATTGTAAAAATTTTCAAAAATTCTAAAAAAAATTTTTTTTAAATTAAAAAAACTGATTTTTTTACAATCTTGAAAAAATTTAAAAAAATTAAATTTATCCCACTGTGAATTTGTCACACCATTTTTTAAATTTACCCCACTGTGCGAATTTTGTAAATTTTTACAATATTGATAGTTAGCGTTTGTATTTTTTTAATTTATGCTACTGTGCGAATTTGTCCTACCATTTCTTAAATTTTTGCCACTGTGCAAATTTGTCTTTTTTAATTTATGCATAAGGGCAGTTTCCAATTATCCATTTTAATAAATTGTATTTACAAGTATAAAAGTATAATGATTCATTATTAATGAATGGGTGATTAAACTTTGTTTACCAATAAATACAAGAAAATCAGGTTAATTAATTGATGTTTAATTTAAAAACAAACATAAAAATAAATTTAAAATCTTTCTTTTCACTATACAGGTACGTTTAGTTTATATGGTTTTTCCCATTCGGCTTAAAGGATTTGGAAAATATTTTTAATATTTCCAAAAACAAATTAATTAATAATTTGGATATATAGATATGCACATAATTTTTAAACCAGTCCATGTCAATCTTTATTAAGTATTGTGTTTAAAACATTTCTTCATTGTTACAGGACTAAATGGAGTCAGATTATCATTGGTTGATAACAGCCACCTTGGTAGCTTCTTCAGTGGTTGCTATAACAGCGAATTTTTTTCTACTGTTGGTTTTTTGCAGACGTAGAGGTCTCAGAACTGTACCTAATAGGTAAATATATTTTTTTTGTGCGTGAACTTTTTCTACTAATACGTTTTGTTGCAGATTTGTGATCAATCTGTTAGTGACAAATCTGTTGAGTAGTATACTGCTGATCCCATTGCTACTAACAGACCAGGGATTTTCTTTTGGTGGTACCAGTCTAAACTCTACTGTGAACACTACGGAGTTAATAGAGAAAATTGAAATTAAAGAAGTATTGAGTGATAGTGATAGTTCCACCATATTAAATAGAGATATTGAGATTATACAAAATGGTTTTGGTGAAGAAGATACAACAAATAGAGTGTTACTGTGCTATTTCGCACAAAGTTCGACTAGTTTTGTGTGTACTGCATCAATATTCAGTATTCTTTTGATTGGTATCAACCAGTATTTTGGAGTGATACATTCTCTAAGATATCACTTCTACATCAACAAATGCAGAAGCTCAATATTTATCATCAGCAGTTGGGTGGTGTCACTACTGTGTTCCATATTGGGTACCCTAACTTATAGTGACAACTCACTGTGGAACTTCTGCAGTACTTCTAGTGAACCAAGTGATATCCTAAGAATACTAAACACAGTCTACGCCATATCCTACTTCATTATGGTGATTCTGGCCCCTTTTGCCGCCATTTGCCTCATATATTACTGCATATACAATGCCGCACATAAAAACAGTGAACGCATGCGCAAATCCACAAGCAGTAATGCCAACCTTGAATACACACAGGTGGCAGTTCCAAGGAACATACCTAAAGTACAGAGTGCGCCAAATTTCGGCAACCTAGTGAAAAACAACTATAAAGAAAGTGAGGTTAAGGACGACAGTGCGAAGACGGCGAACAACGGCAACTTTATAAACAATTTGAAACATAAAATTAGCAACGCGTCGGTTTTTAAGTACAGGGAAGAAACAAGGGCTGCCAAAATCAGCATTATAGTGATTTTGACGGTTCTAGTTTGCTACATACCCTACGGTATAACTTTGGTGCTGAGTTGCGAATTCATCAAGGTCAAACCGGGGCAAATCTTCAACTACCTCTCCTTGATTTTGCTGGTATTTTCCAACATAATATCGCCCTTTTTGTTTGGTTATCGAAACAAGCGGATCAAAAGGGAAATAGGGAAAATGCTGGGCATCGCCAAACCGACCAATCACAACCGAATATCGACCCTGCCGCGCGACAAGATAACCCGCAACCACAGCCTGGAAAACGAACTTTTTCTGAACGTCCCGGAAGTGATCATAACCTACAAGCCGGAAAACGAAAGGAAAAGTATACTGAAAAAATACACCTCCAGCTGGACCAGCTACAAAAAATGCAATTTTATCACTGTACCGGACGGGTGTTGTTCCGGGGAAGCCCGCGGTAGTTTTTCCAGCGCAAGTACGCAAATATCGAACGAGGAATAACACCCTGTACATTCAAAACTTAATAACTTTAAAACAAAAAGAGATAACAAAAAAGTTCAAAGAGAAAATTTTGTTGATACTCAAAAACCCACACGATAACATTGTTTTTGTATATACAGGGTGTTCCATAAATGCCCGACAACAAACACATTGTTTAAATTTGTAATATCTCAAAATATTATTCCACATTCTTCTAGAGCTCGTTTTCACAATTACAAAAATATATAACACACCCACAATCAGAAGAGCCGTTATCGAGATATTACAACTGAACACCCTGTATATACCTTCAACAAAAATATGTGATAACTTTAAAACAAAAAGAGATATCGAAAAACTTTGAAGACAAAATTTTGTCGATGCGCAAAAATATACACGATAACATTTTTATTGTATATACAGGGTATTCCATAAAAGCCCGACAAAAAACACATTGTTTTTAGTTGTTATATCACAAAATATTATTTCACATTCTTCTAGAGCTCGTTTTCACAATTACAAAAATATATAACACACCCACAATCAGAACAGCCGTTATCGAGATATTACAACTGAACACCCTGTATATACCTTCAACAAAAATATGTGATAACTTTAAAACAAAAAGAGATATCGGAAAAGTTTAAAGACAAAACTTTGTCGATACGCAAAAATATACACGATAACATTGTTATGGTATATACAGGGTGTTCCATAGAAGCCCGACAAAAAAACATTGTTTTTAGTTGTTATATCTCAAAATATTATTTCACATTCTTCTAAAGCTCGTTTTCACAATTACAAAAATATATAACACACCCACAATCAAAACAGCCGTTATCGAGATATTACCACTGAACACCCTGTATATACCTCCAACAAAAATATGTGATAACTTTAAAACAAAAAGAGATATCGAAAAAGTTTATAGACAAAATTTTGTCGATACGCAAAAATAATCACGATAACATTGTTATTGTATATACAGGGTGTTCCATAGAAGCCCGACAAAAAACACATTGTTTTTAGTTGTAATATCACAAAATATTATTTCACATTCTTCTAGAGCTCGTTTTCACAATTACAAAAATATATAACACACCCACAATCAAAACAGCTGTTATCGAGATATTACAACTAAACACCCTGTATATACCTAAAACGTATATGCGTGATAACTTTTAAATGTGAGGAGTTATCGGAAAACTTCAAAGACAAAAAATGTTTAATTTTCAGTTGTCTAAAATTTGATGTACACAGATAATATACAGGGTGTTGCGTTTCGAAGTTTTACGTTGATTTTTAAAATATGTTTTTACCTCAAAATAGTGTTCATAAGGGTATTACTATGTATTTTTTTTGTAAATATGTATATTTTATAGTTTTAGATCATAGTTATTATAAAAAGTCTGATTAATGTTAGTTTTTTGAATTGTTAACAAAAAAATTCTAAAATACTACCAAAATGACAATTATTGTATTATGTTAGTAATATTTTTTTGGACAAACCAAATATCTTTTAGTATTTTATATTAAAATTCGTAGTGAATCATTTTTTTGGTTGTTTCTACAATTTTTTGACTGTTTTTTTATTTTATATAATTTTCTTGCTATTAAATTAATTTATTGTATGTAATTTTGCTGTATACAGCCATGTAAATAAAATAAATAATTGAAATTAATATTTTTTGTGTTTTACTCACTTTAAACAAAGTGATATTAAAGGTGGCAAGTAAATAAAACTATTTGGTATTTAAATTGTGTGTATATTAGCTAAAAAAATGGACGAATAATACAGACTTTTAGATTACATAATAACATTATAAAAATGCAAAATTGTTGCTACAATATTTTAGGTTTTAATCACAAAATTCCTACAGTCTCATTTATTTATAAAATACTTTAAAAAAAAAAACTTTAAAAATGTGCATTTTATTTTAGACCTCCATTTCGAATTTTAAAATAAGAATGTAAAAAAATATAAAAGTAGAGATATTATTTGAGAAATTATACACTTTATGTATACTTACTAAGTATTACATAGTACACAAGAAATAAATTAAATTAAACACCACAAATACTAGCTAAAATCATTTAAAAATATATTACAAAGTTTTAAAAAACTAAAAGTACACATACAGGGGTTTTAATAAATAGCAGAATACTAAACACCCTGTGTAAAAGTAAAAAAAAATGTGCTGTAGCACTTGTCAACGCTTTGAGTATTTTTATATTTTAATTATATGTTGATTGTTGATTTTATAAATTTAAATTATAAAAATATACTCAAAAATATGTACAAATTATACCAAAAAATTCACAAAAACTTGTTAAATTTTTTGTATATTTTACATTATTCTAAAAGCTAGTGGTCCTTTAATAGCTACGTCATTATTTTTTAAGTATTATTACATGTTAAGAAATTGTATACAAGTAAAAATTTCAATTTTAATTTCTATCTATCTAAAATTGCAATTTTTATAGCTGAAAACCAATTTAATTGGTTTAAAATAATAAGGGATTTTCTAAAAATAAAAAAAAATGTACAGAATGGACAAAAATAATATCTTAAGATATGAACCTCGTTTTTGACCACCATTGTATAAAAGTACTCCTGGGTAGTTAATGTTGGGTAATGAAATTTCTGAAATAACACAAAAAAAATTAAAATTTTGCATACAAAAAAATATAAACAAACCTTTTCCCATTAACATTAAGAAAAAATAAAAAAAATTATATTGGTACTTACTTGTAACACAGGATTGCCAACGTTATAAACAACGCTGCAGTGCTCGTCGACAGTGTTGCCGCTTCTCCGTATCTAACGCTTCCGCAGGCAGGAGGGCATACAGGTATAATGGATTCTACACAACATATAAATCTATGCTATTATCTATTCTAAGCATATCAAAAAATATAAATAAAAAAATAATCGGATGTTTTGTTTAAGTAAAATTGATTTCTTTACATTACAAAGTAATTTTGTCATTTAAAAATGTGGTTTTGACATTCTAGACTGTGTTTTGACATTTCTAAACTTGTTTTAACATTCTATGTAGTTTTTCGCGATTATGACATTTTATACTGCATTTTAACTTTTCTAAAAATCTTTTAATACCCTAAAATGTATTTGTTAACTTCTAAATTCGGTTTTTGGTTTTTAAAATGTATTTTTGACATTTCTAAACATGTTTGAACGGTTTAAAATGCATTTGTAACCTTGAAGTCGGTTTTGACATTTCTGAACATGTTTTAACTTTTCTAAACATGTTTTCACTATCTAAAATGCATTTTTAACTTATGACGATTTAAAATCTATTTTTGACTTTCTAAATTCTGCTTTTGACATTCTTAAATATGGTTTTGACATTTTAAATTGTGTTTGTGTTGACTTTGACATTTTAAAACCACGATGTGGTATTAACTTTTCTAAACATGTTTTGACACTGTAAAATGCATTTTTAACCTTCTGAATTCGTGTTTTGACATTCTAAATTGTGTTTTCGACATTCTGTATTACGGTTTTGACATTTTAAATTGAATTGATTAATAGATGTCCTAAAACCACGATTTTGACACACTAAATGTGGTTTTGACAATTCTAAACATGTGCATTTTTTAACTTTTGACGATTTAAAATCTATTTTTAAATAATTTCTAAATTCTGCTTTCGACATTTTAAAACCACTATCCCAAAATGTGTTATTAACTTTTCTAAATATGTTTTGACAATCCAAAATGCATTTTTAACTTTTGACGTTTTAAAATCTATTTTTGATTTTCTAAATTGTGCTTTTGACATTCTTAAATATGGTTTTGATGTTTTAAATTGTGTTTGTATTGACATTGACAATTTAAAACCACGATTTTGACACATTAAAATGATGTTTTGACATTTCTAAACATTTGTTAACATTCTATGTAGTTTTGTCACATTAAATTATGTTTGGCATCCTAAAATGTGGTTTTAACTTTTCTAAACACGTTTTAACAGTCTAAAATGCATTTTTAACCTTTGAAGTTCTAAAATCCATTTTTGACTTTATAAATTCTGCTTTTGACATTTTAAATTGTGTTTGTTGTGTTAATTTTGACATTTTAAAACCACGATTTTGATACAATTAAAGTTATGTTTTGACATTCTTAATTATATTTGACATGTGGTTTTAACATTTTTTAACATTCCATGTGGTTTTGATATTCTTAATTGTGGTTTTACTTTTGTAAACATGTTTTAACAGTTTAAAATGTATTTTAACCTCTGACGTTATAAAATCTGTTTTTACATTCTGAATTGTGATTTTGACAATCTTTAATGTGGTTTTGACATTTTAAAACGTGTTAATGTGTTGATTTTGACATTCTCAAATGTGGTTTTAACATTTAAAAATGTGGTTTTTACATTTTAAAATGTGATTTTGTCATTCTTAAAGTGGTTTTAACATTTTAATATGTGGTTTTAACAATCCAAACAATTGGCGTTAAAAATGTGATTTTGCATGTCAATTTGTGTTTTTGACAATATAAATCGTGTTTTGACAAATGGTTTTAACTTTTCTAAACATGTTTTGACAGTCTAATATGTATTTTAACCTGACGTTATAAAATCTGTTTTTGACATTCTGAATTGTGCTTTTGTTAATGTGTTGATTTTGACATTCTAAAATGTGATTTTGACATTTTAAAATGTAGTTTTTACATTTTAAAATGTGATTTTGTCATTCTAAAAGTGGTTTTAACATTTTAATATGTGGTTTTAACAATCCAAACAATTGGCGTTAAAAATGTGATTTTGCATGTCAATTTGTGTTTTTGACAATATAAATCGTGTTTTGACATGTGGTTTTAACTTTACCAAACATTTTTTAACATTCAATGTAGTTTTGATATTCTAAATGTGGTTTGAACTTTTCTAAACATGTTTTAACAGTCTAAAATGTATTTTAACCTCTGACGTTATAAAATCTGTTTTTGACATTCTGAATTGTGCATTTGACAATCTTAAATGTGATTTTGACATTTTAATATTTTAAAATGTAGTTTTTACATTTTAAAATGTGATTTTGTCATTCTAAAAGTGGTTTTAAATTTTTATAAGTGTTTTTAACAATTTAAACAATTGGCGTTAAAAATGTGTTTTTGACAATATAAATCGTGTTTTGACATGTGGTTTTAACTTTTCTAAGCATTTGCTTACATTCCATGTAGTTTTGATATTCTTAATTGTGGTTTTAACTTTTCTAAACATGTTTTAACAGTCTAATATGTATTTTAACCTCTGACGTTATAAAATCTATTTTGGACATTCTGAATTGTGCTTTTGACAATCTTAAATGTGGTTTTAACATTTTGAAATGTGGTTTTTACACTTTAAAATGTGGTTTTTACATTTTAAAATGTGATTTGTCATTCTAAAAGTGGTTTTAACATTTTAATATGTGGTTTTTAACTTTTCTAAACATGTTTTAACAGTCTAAAATGCATTTTAAACCTTTGACGTTATAAAATCTGTTTTTGACATTCTGAAATTGTGCTTTTAAGATTTTAAAATGTGATTTGTCATTCTAAAAGTGGTTTTAACATTTTAATATGTGGTTTTAACAACTCAAACAATGTCCAAACATTTTTTAACATTCCATGTAGTTTTGATATTCTAAATTGTGCTTGTAACTTTTCAAAACATGTTTTAAACTTTGACGTTTTAAAATCCATTTTTGACTTTTAAAATTGTGTTAATGTGTTGATTTTGACATTCTCAAATGTAGTTTTAACATTTTAAAATGTGGTTTTAACATTTTTAAACGTGGTTTTAACAATCCAAACAATTGGCGTTAAAAATGTGTCTTTGCATACCAATTTGTGTTTTACGAATTTTAAATCATGTTTTGACATATCTAACGAAATAACCACTTTTTTTAAATCCTGGTATAAAATAAAAAATAAAGTTTTGAATAAAATAGATAGAAAATATAATTAAAAGCCATGACATTCAATTAATATTCATATAACAGTTTATCTTAACATACAGATGCAGATTGTGGTAATAAAAACCAAAAATCTTAATCCAATGCAAGTCATGCTTACCAACCTACAACGCCAAACAAAAAAACAACTAAAACTTACCAAACAATTCCACCCTTCCTTCATCAGTTCCAAGTTTGTTTGCTGCCTTGCAAGTGTACTGGCCATACTGCCTTTTTTCAATGGTTATCACTCTTATGGTTGTATCAGTGAATTCATCAGCAGTAGCAAAATGGGAAATGCTGTAATGCTGGTTATTTGCGAGTTGGATGCCGTCTTTCTCCCATACAATTGCTGGTGGTGGGTAAGCTTCCACATGGCATTCCAAATCCATGTCAAACTGAAGAGCTACAATAAAAAATTATACAAAATTCAACAAATTATTTTTCTCATCATCTTACCTTGCCCTAATCTTGGTCTTGGCACAGTTACAACGGGTTTAAACTCGACTTCAACGGCAATATTTCTTTTGGTACCCCTCCCAACACCATTTTCAGCAACGCAGTAATAAGTACCGCGGTCTTCTTTCCTGATGTGTTTGATCTTCAAAATGTTGCCCCTGTATATCGAACCCCCTGTAGGTAGAATTGCGTTGTTTTCGCGCCTCCAAGATATTCTTGGAGAGGGGAATCCCCCAGCATAGCATTCCATTTGAACAGCTAAAAAATAAACACAAATTAAATTGTTTAATTGTGTTGATTTTGACATTCTAAACCCACGATTTTGAGGCACTAAAATGTGGCTTTGACATTTCTAAACATGTTTTAACATTCCATTTGACTCCCTGAAATGTGGTTTTAAGTTTTCCAAACATTTTTTTAGAGTCTAAAATGCATTTTTAACCTTTTGACATTCTTAATTGTGTAAATTCTGAAATTTGACATTTTAACTGTCTAAAAAGCATGTTTGACGTTTTAAAATCGGTTTTTGACATTCTGAATTGTGCTTGACATTCTTGAATTTGGTTAATATTTTAATTTTTGTTAATTTTGACATTCTAAAACCACGATTTTGAAACACTAAAATCTGATTTTGACATTTCTAAACATGTTTTAACATTCCATTTAGCTTTGAAATTCTAAATGTGGTTTTAACTTTTCTAAACATGTTTAAGCTGTCTAAAATGCATTTTTAACGTTTGACGTTTTAAAATCGGTTTTTGACATTTTAAATTGTGCTTTTGACATTCTTATATATGGTTTTGACCTTTTAAATTGTGTTTAACATCCTAAAATGTGGTTTTAACCTTTATAAACATGTTCTAAAATGCATTTTTAACGTTTGACGTTTTAAAATCGGTTTTTGACAGTATAAATTGTGCTTTGACATTTCTTAATACGGTTTTGACACTTTAAATTATGTTAGTGAGTTGATTTAGACGTTCTAAAATCGCGATTTTAACATTCCATGTAGTTCTGACATTAAAATTTGTGTTTGACATCCTAAAATGTGGTTTTAACTTTTCTAAACATGTTTTAACAGACTAAAATGCATTTTTTACCTTTGACGTTTTAAAATATGTTTTTGACTTTCTTAACTGAATATGGTTAACATTTTAAATTGTGTTAATTTTGACATTCTAAAACCACGATTTTGAAACACTTAAATCTGATTTTGACATTTCTAAACATGTTTTAAAATTGAAGAGGAAAACATATGTCCTGGGGAAAACAAATTAAGTGATAAAAATTTATTTACCTTCTCCTTCAGAAACCACAATTGATCTGGTGGAGTTATCGGAGATGAAAGGCGGCCTACGAACTTGCAATTCCACTTCTGCAGTGACCCTGTTGCTTGGTGAAATCAAAATTTGACATTGGTAATACCCTGAATCGGTTTCCTGAATGTCTTTTATTTGAAGCAAGAAAGTTGAACTGCTCTGGAAAATTAAAAAAAAAAGGATTTGTTTAGTCGACACTACTTACTTCACACCGAATTAAATTTAAGTATAAATAAATAGTGTTTATGGTGTTTAAGATGCAAATAGTATGTATATTATTTATCTTACAAGTAAGTTCTTTGACTCAAGTTTGTAAACTTAAACGTATTTTTACTTTAAATTAAATATAATTTTACAATATTTCACGTTTAAGTCAACCTTTAATTTATTTTCATTAAATATTTAAAAAATATGTGGGCCTGCCTGGATAGGACAGAATGAATCATAGCTTTAAAAAATCTTTATTATCTATTATTCTTTAATAAAATAAATCATTTAATACTAATTTACCTAACAAGATTATAAAAGAAACTACAACCAATATAGGTACAGGGCTGTCCAAAAGGAACCTTTAATAGTTTAGTGAGAATTAATAAAAAACGTTAAAATAATAAAATCTTAAAATATTTAAATTAATTTTGTCATTTAAAATGTGGTTTTGACATTTTAAAATGTTTTGACAGCCTAAAATGTATTATATAACTTCTAAATTTGGCTTTTGGCGTTTTTGACATTCTAGAAAATGATTTTGACATTCTAAAAGCATGTTTGAACGTAACCTTAAAATCGATTTGGACATTTTATTGTGTTTGACATTCAAAATTAAAGTTTTAACTTTTCTAAACATTTTTAAATTATGTTTTTGACATTATTAAATTTGGTTTAGTATTTTAAATGTGTTAATTTTGTTCAATCTAAAAAGTAGTTTTAACATTTCTAAACATATTAGAAAGGTTTAAACTCCATACGTTTTGACATTTCTAAGCATGTTTTAACATTTTATGTAATTTTGACGTTTAAAAATTTGTAAATTTTAAAAACTTGTTTTAAAATTTTGAAGTTTAAAATTTTTAGAAATTTCAAAAAATTTGTAAGTTTTGAAAATTTTGAAAATATTGGATATAGATTTAAAAATGTGTTTTTGGCATTCTAGACTGTGTTTTTGACATTTTTAAACATTTTAAAGTTCCCAAACATGTTGTAACATCCTAAAATTATTAAACTAAATTTGGGTTTTGGCTTTTTAAAATGTATTTTTGACTTTTTAAATTTTATTTTTGACAATCTAAAATCGCGATTTTGACATTCTAGAATGTGATTTTGACATTCTAGAATGTGATTTTGACATTTTTAAGCATGTTTGAACGTAACCTTAAAATCGATTTGAACATTCTAAATGTGGTTTTAAAATTTCCAAAATAGGGTTTTAACATGTTATTGTGTTTGACATTCAAAATTGAAGTTTGACTTTTATAAACATGTTTTAGCCCAAAATGCATTTTCTTTTTTTGTTTTAAAAGGTATTTTTAACCTTATAAATTGTGTTTTTGATAATCCAAAAAGTGGTTTTAACATTTCTAAACATATTTGAACGGTTTAAACTTCATTTGTAACCTTAAAATCTGTTTTGACATTCTTAAATGTGTTTTTGACATTTTTAAACATGTTTTTGACATTTCTAAACATGCTTTAATATTTTATGTAGTTTTGACGTTTAAAAAAATTGTAAATTTTGAAAATATTGAATATTTTGAAAACTGTAAATTTTGTAAATTTTAAGGAATTTGTGAATTTCAAAAAAATGTAAATTTCAAAAATTGTGGAATTATTGAAAACTATTGGATATTCTACATTGTGTTTTTGACATTTCTAAACTTCCAAATTTGGGGTTTGGTGTATTAAAATGTATTTTTGACATTTTAAATTGTATTTTTTACATACTAAAAAGTTATTTTGACATTCTAAAAACTGATTTTGACATTTCTACTTTATGTATTATTTTGACTGTGTGTGATCTTTGGACAAATAAAGAATTATTATTATTATTATAAAATCAGTTTGGGCATTCTAAATGTGGTTTTGAAATTTCCAAAATGAGATTTTGACATTTCTAAGCAGGTTTTAACATTCTATATACGTTTGACATTCAGAATTGAAGTTTTAACTTTTCTAAACATGTTTTAGCCTAACATGCATTTTAACCTTCTAAAATCGGTTGTTAATTTTGACAATAAAAAAGTGGTTTTGACATTTCTAAAAATATTTAAAGGGTTTGACTTAATTTGTTACCTTAAAATTGGTTTTGACATTCTTAAATGTGTTTTTGACATTTCTAAACATTTTATGTAGTTTTTAAGTTCAAAAACATTGAAAAATTTCAAGAAATCAGTAAATTTTAAAATATTGCTTATTTTGAAAATAGTAAAGTTTAAAATTTTGAGAAATTTCAAAAAATTTGTAAATTTTGAAAATTTTGGAAATATTGAATACTCAAAATATTGGATATTCTAAAGTAATTTTGTCATTTAAAAATGTGCTTTTGACATTTTAAAATGTGGTTTTGACATTCTAGACTGTGGTTTTAGTTTTTCTAAACATGTTTTAACAGCCAGTGCATTTCTGCAACTTCCAAATTTGGGTTTTAGAGTTTCAAAATGTATTCTTGACATACTAAAATGTGATTTTGACATTTCTAAGCATGTTTGAAGAGACTAAAATACATGTGTAACCATAAAATTGGTTTTAAATTATTTTGTTTGGACATTCTAAATGTGGTTTTGACATTTCCAAAATGGGATTTTGTAATTATACTGTGTTTGACATTTCAAATTAAAGTTTTAACTTTTCTAAACATCTTTAACCCAAAAATCGGTTTTGGCATTTAAAAATGTATTTTTGACATTTTAAATTGTGTTTTTGACATTCTTAAATTTGGTTTGGCATTTTAATTATGACCTTATGACCATGTTTGAAAGTTTTAACCTAAAAATCGGTTTTGACATTTTATATAATTTTGACGTTTAAAAAATTTTGTACATTTAAAAAAATTTGTATACCTATTTAAATTGGAAATTTTGAAATGAATACTTACTGGGTCGTAACGTAGCGAGAATCTGGAGTCATGCAAAATAAGGGAACTTCCCGTTGAAATTGGTAAGCTGTATCCTGATTGGTCTTTATTAACTTTCATCCAGATGACAGAATAATCGGCTGTGTACTGAACTGAGCATGACAGTTCCACTGTGCCCCCAATGTCTTTAATTTGCATCTGACTTATGTAAGAAATCGTGGGAGACCTTTGAGAATAACCTAAAAAAAAAGTTTCTAGATTAGCAAATTTTCAGATTTAAATTTATACACTTTTTCCCTCCATTTTTGTTTTAATTATTAAAAAAAGTGAGATTTCATTAAATATTACTACTACCTACATTTTATCTTCAAAGCACTTTATATAGGTCAATTTAATTTAACATCAAAGCAGCCTAACCTCACTTTTTTAGAATCTCATTTATTTATTAGCTAAAGATTACATTAAATGTACAATAATTATTACTGCTTTTAGAAGCAGTAATAGTTTGACAATACCTAGCAACATGATTTAAGTAGAAATGGATTTTTGCTATTACATTGAATTCAATTAATTGTTTAACAAATAGGTAGGTATCTAATTTCAATTTGTTTGGATTTTTATTTAAAAAATATGTAGTTTGGAATGTTTAAGCTGTGTTTAACATTTAATTTCACTGAAAACTTAAAGCAAATTAAAACTTAAAGATAATTTAAATCGTAGAAAAAGAATCGTGCGTTTTCTTGGTTGCCTAACCTCACTTTTTGTTTTATTATTCATATTTAATTTTACAATAATTTAATGAAAAATATTAAACATTAACAGTAAAACAAACAAATTAGTGCTTATTATAAATAAATTAAACCAGTTTAGTACGTTAATTTCTTAGAAAAGGATTAATTTGTCAAAACAATACCCCTAGCGAGAAAAAATCGAACTAATTACTTGCCTCATAAAAAAATTTTATCGGCCTAGGCCATAACAAGGTATTTCTTTATCGAATGTTGACAACAATAAAGTTTAAATTATAGACCGCGTGGAGATAAATAAATTTATTTTTTCAATCATGAAGTTAGGTACAGTTAACAAATTATTGATTTGCATAATAAATATTATCTTTTTCTCAATTTCAATCAAAATGCTGACCTATAAGGTCATATAACCTAAAAAAGCTACATGAAATGTGTTTTTTGTTTTAATTTATCACCCAAAAAATCTGTTTCTTTAAAGGTTTTGTAATTTAACATGGGCATTTATTGTAATGCTGATATTTTTTGTATTTTTAATATTTTGTTTTTGAAGAGTTCTTTGTTCAATTACTAGGTATTTTGTATAAAATGGTAACACCCATTTTTAATTATGTAAAATGTACGGTATTTCTAACTAATTTGTTATACCTAGATATTTTAATTATTGTTTTATTCTCACATTTATTTTATCGTAATATTTTTTTTGAATACCAAACAAAGTACCTATGATAAAAAAATCTTAATTTAGTTTATTTGAGTCATTTTAAACCGAAATTGTTTTAATTAAAGGTTAATTTATACGTATGAATCATAATATTGTTATTATATAGTCAGTATTACTGAAGCAACTACAAAAAGAATTTAAAACAGTACAAACTAACAAAATCGATATTTTTCCCCTAAAATCGAGTAACCAGGTAAACAATCGAGCATCGCACATCCACAAGCCTACTTCTACAGTACTTATCTTATCGGGGCCTTCTAAATTTGATAAGATAACATTTGAAATAAACCACATATAACTTTGATATAGTTTTAGAACTTACATTTCTCGATAAGACACAATACAAATAACACAAACAAAACTTTCAGGTCCGCCATCTTGAACTTCAACTGTTTTGTAGCGCGGCAGTTTTCTGACTGAGATACCACACCTGTTTTACGGACGTAGGCAGTGGCGCCGTTGATATATTTTTCTTACGGGGGATTTTAACAATAATTGTTTCTAATATTACCTAAAGCGTGTGGACTCATTTTAGGGAATATTAGAGGAAAAAATATTATATACCTATTATTATTAACCTCAGAAACTTTTTGACAGTTAAACCAACTGTATTGTATGTAAAAATTTTCTACATACAATTTTTATGATTTACCTTGGATTATAAATAATAGGGATTTAGAGGTAATAAATCTAGTAGATTTTGGCGTTTGCAACGATTTTGTATTAAAATGGCGCCAAGTTCGTCTGGTTGTAATTATTATTATTTCTTAACATGTTTAAAATGCATTTGTTATCTAAAAATCGGTTTTAACATTCTTTAATATGTTTTAAAATTTTTTGTGGTTTTGACGTTCAAAAAATTAGTAGTAAATTTAAAAAATATTGCATATTTTGAAAATTTTTTTAAATTCTAAAGTAATTTTGTCATTAAAAATGTGATTTTGACACTTTAAAAGTGGTTTTGACACTCTGGACTTTGTTTTTGACACTTCTAAACATGTTTTAACATGCCATGTAATTTTGACATTTTATATTGTTTTTGATATTCCAAAATGTGGTTTTAAATTTTCTAAACAGGTTTTAACAGCCAAAAATGCATTTTGAAACTTCTAAATTAGGGTTTCAGAGTTTTAAAATGCATTTTTGACATTCTAGAAAGTGATTTCGACCTTGCTTGGGTCTGAAATGCATTTGTAACCTTAAAATCGGCTTTCAACATTTTGATGTTTGGACATTCTAAAGTGGTTTTGACATTTCCAAAATGAGGGTTTGACATTTCTAAACAGGTTTTGACATTCCAGTTTATTGTGTTTGACATTCAAAATTGAAGTTTTAACTTTTCTAAACATGTTTTAGCCTAAAATGCCTTTTTTCCTTCTTGTGTTTTTGACATTCTTAAATTTGTCTTAGCATTTTAAATTGCGCTAATTGTGTTGACTTGGGGTCATAGAGTCTTTTGTCTATGCTTGGGGTATCTAAAAAGTGGTTTGACATTTCTAAACATTTAAACTAGGTAACCTTAAAATACAATGTAATTTTTAATACACATTTTATTTTTTGATGGAAATATTAACTAAAGTATTATATGTTATTTGGTTGCCATAACAAATTATCACACCAGTACAATATCCCTCAAAAGGTAACAATGTTTCTTTTGCGCATTGTGATTCATTCGTAAATTGGTTTAATATATTCTTTCCAGCATACAATTTTACTATAAAAGTGTACAAGTTTGGATCTTCATTAGAGCAAATCAACGTAACATCTATAAAAGTGTTTCTACAGAATTGATCAAAAGTAATTAATATTTTGAATAATTTTGAATCAAATATTTTCCATTTTATGGTGTCATAATCTCCTAATTGTACAAATTGAGGTAATTCCATATCCCCATGCTTGGTCTTTAAATGTTCCAAAATAAACTCAAAGTTTCCAGTCTCAGAGCAACCCATTGGGCATGGATAGATATGTAAAGGACATGTTCCTTCATGTTTCCTTAACTGACTTTCTATGCCAATTTCGTCGCATCCATGTTTGCATGGATACTTGATTTCTCTTAATAAAGTTTCCATTGAGTAATTTCTTGAATCTGTCCAGTTTTCTCTACATATTGGACATTTAGCGACTTGTTCTATACATAATATGCAAATACTGTGTCTTGCGAGGCAATTGTAAATTGGTGGTCTCATGATATTCCTACAGACAGGACATTCCAATAGTTTTAACATATTTTTATCCATTCCGTTAGGATTTAGATTAAACTCGTTTAGAATTATATTGTTTTCATCTGCAAGATGTTTCAACAGATCAATGTCTAACGCAGTCGCGTTGGGGTTTTCATCCAGGTTTTCTTCGTTATAAAAACCATTCAGTTTGGTTAAAGTACCCATGGTCTTTATTATTGGAACGTTTGGTGTTTGAATACTTTTGTGTTCCACTGAATATTCCGTATTAACTTCGGATGTTACAACTGGATTTAGAGCGTAATAAAATTTATTATCGACAACTGAAGTGTTCAGAAGGAATTTTCCGCAATCATCAGAAAATATCTTTACGTTGAAAGTGGTGGACAATGACGATTCGACTTTGAAAATTTTGTTTTCACTTTTAATCACGTGATCCCCATGGTTTTCTAAAAAATGCCCGCCAACTTCCAAATTGTTTCCGAACCAATCGCAACCTTCAAGGTTTTTCATCGGGCACGGGTTAATTATAAAATCGCAAACCTCAATGTGCTTGGAATAATTTTTGGGCTCCATCCTCCGATCGCAACCTCTGGATTGATATTTGCACGGCAGCATCAGCTTGTCTCTAATGTGGATGAGAGCGGTGTTTAGTTCCGCCTTTGGTTTCTTTTCCTCCCCACACTTTTTTTTTAAACAGTTTGAACACACATTTCCTTTCCCTTTGACCAGGAAAATATCGGACGTGCAAAGTTCATCGCAAATACGACAGTGGAATATTTTCTCCTCTACAAGGTCGTCAGTAAACTGATTCATCTTATCGGCGGCCATATCGTCTGCAAAAGAAAATGTTATTCTTGATTGTTAATTTCTAAGCAAAGTGGCAAAATATACCTTTATCCGAAATCGGCAGTAAAGTAGAACTGCCGATTTAATACTAGTATTGTATGCAACCCCTTATACATTTTAGGATCGCATCAACCACGATCCACACAACAAGGTCTTTATTCGCGCATGTTAAAAATCACGAAATTAGGCAACCTAGTATACATTCATACTTTAGTCGCCATTTTCATTGTTTACAATTTTATTGTTTGCAATTATTGTGCTGTTTTTATGCGGATTTGTAATACCTAGTTGTTTGTTTTTTTTCTTTATTATATTAATATTTGGTTGCATAGATTTTAATAATGTTAATTAAGATACAACTATTTTTACTGCTTAAAAATACATTATTGATGTCAATAATTAATTTCTGAAATTCATTGATTAAATACTCGTCAAATATCAGTTTACTTTAAAACTAAATGTAACTATTTAAATGTAATAATTAATTTCTGAAATTTATTGATTAAAAAACTCTTGTCAAATTTAATATATGGGGCAAAACACCTCAAGTGTTCCCACCTAATAATGATGTTGTCTCCGATTTTAACAAAACTTTGCCAAATAATTGTCCTATTGGACTACCTTAATTTTCCAAATGGGGGGCAGAAAGTATTAGCGGGTTGCAGAGATACAGGGGCCTGAAAATTTATTTTTTTTCTCGTGCGCTTAAAAGACGTCGAAATATTCATGTACATATATAATAATTTTTTTTTTAATTGATAATCAACATATCGTATAGCATTTTTTCCAATCGTTTTTTATAACCAAAAAAATGTTTCTCGCTTTCGAGACCATTTTTATCGTAAAGCGTGGAAAAATGCTATACGATATGTTAATTATCAATTTAAAAAAAATTATTATATACATGAATATTTCGAAGTCTTCCTTTTGTCAAATCTTATAATGTTAAAAAACATTTGCAGTTTCTTCAAAACTTAAAAAAAACTTTGTTTACTTCTTCCATGCCTGTGTTATACAGAATTACTATTTTGGGTAATTTAAATTAACGGCGGCAAATAAATCAAATATGGCGGTAGTCGTATGTGCGCACAACAGTACCGATTTTCGTTCGTATTTTAAGGAGATTGAACAGACCTTGTTGTGTGGATTGTGGCAGCAACTAAATAATATTAAAAAAAAGCACACCCTTTCATTAAATGTTGTTTAATAAAAATAATAAGTTAAGTTTATTAATTAGATTAAAAAAGTATACGTAGACACTTCCTATATTCAAATGACATTTGATTTAATCATCAATATTAATTATTAGTACTATTAAATGTGATTTCGGATAAAATTTAATATGCACCTCGGCATTAAAGTCATTTTTTATCACTCACGTGGTTATTTGCCTCGGCATTCGTGATAAAAAATACAACTTTACTGCCTTGATACATAAACAACTAACTATATTCTATCAGGGCTGTCAACAAAATGTCAAATGGCAATTTTAAGGTTAATTTACCATAACCCACATATTAGTTCTGGAACAGAACAGATATCTTTAATAATTTATTAATTAAATTCCCCAATTAACATATTTTTGTCAAATCTTTTGTTTAAAACAAACATTTGCGTTTACTTTAAACAACTTTTTATTTTTAAATTAACAGCGGCAAATCAAAGATGGTTTCACGTGGTGCGCATAACAGTACTGATTTTCGTTCGCATTTTATCGAAATAGAACAGACCTTGTTGTGTCCTATTTGATATTAACATAATAAGGACTCAAGCTAAATTTCATCGTCATTTGAAATCGGATACATTTAAAATTATTTCGGTCACTTACGATTGTGGCGGTATTTATAGTCACTTAGGACGTTCTTTATGAAAGTAACGCCGAACTAACCTTTGTCAGCTTTAATGTAATTGTTTAAAACGATTTGATGGCGCCTTACAAATTATAGACAAAAAACTCACCTTAAAAAACGCGAAAGGAACGTTTGATTTTACCTCGTAAACAAATGTAGCAGCAAGCCTCGGTAGAAACAACCTGTCAACTGGTGGCGGTGGTTAACAGTGTTGCCAAATGTAAATGAATTCACGATTATAACAGGTTTGTTCCAAGCGTGGAGTTTTTGTAATATTTTAAATTAAATTTAACATTTTGTAAATGTATATTTATATATTTATAGTATGTATTATTCTATTCTAATGATATAATGGTTCTTCTTTACTCTATGAATTTTTTCATAGTGGTAGGCAACTCAGTATACACTTTATTCTAAGAATGTTTTTTAAACCTTCCAGTCAGAATATTCTTATGATCATGCTATATTTCTTTTAAAGAACATGCTTAAAAGACATATAGCATGATCCTAAGAATATTCTTACTGGCCTATAGGCAGGTTCTTAAAAGGTGCAAAGTTTTAGTGGTAAAAATTAGTCTACTCTAAACATATGCTTAGAATGTTAAGAAAGTAATTGCTATAGAAAGTTCATTTAGGAATATTCCTGTTAAGCATATTTACTTCAGTATCAGTAAATAAATATTTATTAATTTGTATACCAATTTTTTATTTCTTAATTAACATTTTTATGTAAATAATCCTAACTATCTTTTATGAAATATAAGAACATTCCAAAAACGTATTCTTAAAATGTTCTTAGGAAGGTTTTAAGAAGCTTTTAAGAATCTAATTGCATCATTAAAAGGGTATCTATAGATACTTTTAAAACATTCAATATATTGAATGTTTTAAAAGTCCCTAAGAACATTCTTAGCAATAAGAATATTCCATTATTCCGGGTCATATCTTCTTAGAAGATTCTTAAAATTTTGCTATCAGGGTCTTTACTCTACGATTTTTTTTGACGAGGGGTAGGCAACTCTCTATACATTCTTAAGTCGAATGACGGTTACAAAAAAACAGTTAAAATTTAAATATAGGTACGTTTTATTTGTAAATTACATTACAAAAACAGCTTTAGCAATTGTGCCTTTCTTGAGGGCTTCTATTGCAACATTATATTGTTTTAAAGAGAATGTCTTTATTCCCAATTTTTCATAATTCAAATATCTGTCACCCATCGCCTCTAAGAGCCCTAAAGATTTAGGAAAACTGAAGGGATTGATATTAACGCCGTAAATGGTCAGTTCTTTCATATAAATTTCAAACGGTGAAATCCTAGAAAAGAATATTACAACTTTGATGTAGTACGAGTTTATAAATATAACTTACGTTATTTTGCCGTGAGGTGGCGCCACTCCAAAACAGCAAAGTTTCCCTCCGCAGTTAAGGAGGGAAATGGCGTGTTCCACTGCAGGTGGGTACCCACTACAATCTATGACGACATCAAATAGATACCCAGAATCAGCCTGTTGATTTTTCTTGAGTTGATCTGGGGTTATGAGGTTATAGCCGGAATCTAAAAAAATAATATTCAGGAAATTAATTTGGATGAAAAAATATGGGGTTGTATGGCACGCCGTTTTAACATTTATTAAATAATTTTTTAATTTAAAATTTTATTGCTTTAAAATTTTCCTAATTAAAAATTTTAGGTTTACATTTATAAATTTAAAATCTTTTTAACTATCATGTATTGAAAGAAAAAATTTACTAACTAACAGTTCACTTCTGTATTAAACAATATTATTTTCTATCAATATTTGCAAAAATTCCTAACTATCATTTTTTAATAAAAATAATTTCCCAAGTATAATTTATTTGGGTGGCATTTTGTAAACTTAAATAAATATTTTATAAAATTATCGAGATTAATTTGGTAAAGTTAATTTTTTAGTATTTAAAAATAGTATCAAGCCATTTAAAATAAAAACACATATAAAACATTTTCTACCAAAACAGTTTAAAAAGTTAAATTTTTGTAAACTCAAAACCTATGATAATCAAAAAATATTTTAAATATAAAATGCAACTGTAAAAGTTTAAGTTTAAAAATATTGATTTAAAAAAAAATGTAATTTTAATATTTTGGTTTGAATTTGTAAAGAGTCATTTAAATGATAGTCGATAAATTTTTAATACAAAAGTTAAATGTTAGTTTTAAATTTTAATGTGATAATTTTTGCATTAAAATTTTATCCACTATCATTTAAATGACTCTTTACAAATATAAACCAATAACTTTTATTTTTAACAATTTTAAATTGATACATTTTTAAGACAAAATTTATAACTTTACATTTAAATGTAAGTCGATAATTTTTAAATTACAAAGTATAAACGTAGCTTTAGTAGAAGGCACAAGAGGCTGGGATCGGAGCCACGATGCAGCCAGTTTGATCCGCAGTGTTGCCAAATCGTGCTTGCTCCATAAATATTTGACGCGTTTTACTAATTATGGTAATGAAATGTTTCTTTATTACATAAATTTAATAATAGAACAACAAAATTTTTAGTGCCTATTGTACTAAGTTAATTCGACAATTAAAAAACATTTTTTTCCAATTTTTAAGAGAAAAAAATTTAAAATGTGTTGCCACAATATTACGTGGATGCATCATACAAATTCCCAGTGCCGTTTATAGATTCCCGAACGGGATTGTATTGTTCATCTTCTACGGGAGGAAGGAATGAAGGCAATCTATAAATCAGGCTTAACACTTAACCTCACCACAAAAGCCGGGAAGCGGGAATTTGTATGTTGCATCCATATACCTATAACCTATAAGTTATAGGTATAGGGTTGCATCCACGTAATATTGTGGCACTACATTTTAAAAAAATTTCTCTTAAAAATTAAAAAAAATGTTTTTTAATTGTCAAATTATCTTAGTACAATAGGCACTAAAAATGTTGTTTATCTATAATTAAATTTATTTAATAAAGAAACATTTCTATACGATAATTGTAAAACGCGTCAAATATTTATGGAGCAAGCACGATTTGGCAACACTGCGGATCAAACTGGCTGCATCGTGGCTCCGATCCCAGACTTTTGTGCCTTCTTGTAATTTAAATATTATCGACTTACATTTAAATGTAAATTTATAAATTTTGTCTTAAAATATATCACTTTGAAATTGTTAAAGATAAAATATTTTGGTTTAAATTTGTAAAGAGTCATTTAAATGATTGTGGATAAGTTTTTAATCCAAAAATTACTACTTTAAAATTTAAAACTTACATTTAAATGTAATGTGAGAATTTTTGTATTAAAAATTTATCAACTATCATTTAAATGACTCTTTTAAAATTTAAACCAATAATTTTGTAGAATAAAATATTAACCTTAAATATTAACTTATAACCAAAACTTTTAAAAATCAATATTTTTAAACATAAATTGTTGCATTTATATTTTGTTGACTATCAATTGTTTTGAGTTTAAAAAAATTTCTGTTAAAACATAATTTAAGTGCTAAACTTTAATCTTTAAACTTTTATCTAATAAATGCTAAAACGGCGTGCCATAGGGTTCCATAACCAACTTACTTACCTAATTTTCTCAACATTTCCAGTCTTGCCAAATTTGGTTCCGAGACGGTGACGTTTCTGTGGCCTTGAAGGTGGAGTGCGCAAACCCAAAGATTTCCTATGATTCCTGCTCCAGTCACCAAAATTTTCGATCCAACTGAGATTGGACTAATTATGTCCCAACCGTGGGCCAAACAAGACAAAGGCTCTGCCAAAGCAGCTGAAATAAAAAATGTATCACTTTTTAACATTTTTTAGAAATCGCTTCTGTTCCCTGATAGCACATGTGCACTTTATTCTAAGAATGTTTTTTAAACCTTCCAGTGAGAATATTCTTTGGATCATGCTATATTTCTTCTAAAGAACATGCTTAAAAGACATATAGCATGATCCTAAGAATATTCTTACTGGCCTATTATAGGCAGGTTCTTAGAAGGTGCAAAGTTTTAGTGGTAAAAATTAGTCTACTCTAAACATATGCTTAGAATGTTAAGAAAGTAATTGCTATAGAAAGTTCATTTAGGAATATTCCTGTTAAGCATATTTAGTTCAGTTACCTATATAATAGCAAAATATACCATAAACTACATATATATAACGGTATATACCTATACTTAAGTACCTAATTAGTAATTAAAATTAAATACTAAGTAAAAAACACAATCCAAAATATTTAGGAATATTCCTGTTAAGCATATTTAGTTCAGTTACCTATATAATAGCAAAATATACCATAAACTACATATATATAACGGTATATACCTATACTTAAGTACCTAATTAGTAATTAAAATTAAATACTAAGTAAAAAACACAATCCAAAATATTTTTTTATAGTTATTTGTCAAATTAAAACAATATTCGATAACAAAAATACTTTTAACATAAGTAGGTATTTTATTTTATGTTAAAAATAAATATTTATTAATTAGAATACCGATTTTTTATTTCTGAATTAACATTTTTATATATATTAATCCTAACTATCTTCAACTTCAATCTAATCTGACTTATCCCACAAAATTTTCCAATTTTACTTTTTATGAAATAATGTCATACAACTTATGGTTTGGAGGTCAAATTGTTTATTTAATATTTTTAAATAAATATATATTAATAAGTCGCAAAATTTTTTAACGACAAATACATTTCACTGTCATATTATGACAGTGAGGCGTATTTGTGGTCTCCTGAAGAATTTTACGAATGTAGAATACAACATATTAGAACGTGGGTATCTGACATATTTGGAAATATTCTGAAAAGCTTCCTAGAAGCTCCATAAGAAACCTTCTAAGACCATTCCAAAAACTTATTCTTAAAATGTTCTTAGAATGCTTTTTAGGAAGGTTTTAAGAAGCTTTTAAGAATCTAATTGCATCATTAAAAGGGTATCTATTGAATGTTTTAAAAGTCCCTAAGAACATTCTTAGCAATAAGGGAAGGTTCTAAGAATATTCCATTTTCCGGGTCATATCTTCTTAGAAGATTCTTAAAATCAAATTTTGCTATCAGGGTTATACCTTGTTCCAAGGTGATTTTTTCTGGAAGCTTATGGACTTGTTCTTCAGGAGCAAGTGCATAATTGGCCCACCCACCATCTCTAAAAATTCCGATGGTATTATTTATACCACCGATTTTGCAAAAATGGGGTTGGCCAGAATGGCAGAAATGGCAACGTTGGCAACCACTAAAAAGAAAAAAAAGTTACTGTATAAAGGAAGAATTGTATTTTTTGAATTACAACAAATATAATCCAATCTATATAATTTATTTAAGAAAAAATGGTATGACCAATTCGCACAGAGGGATAAATTAAAAAAATGGTAGGACAAATTTAAAAAAAAATGTAAAAAATTTCAGAATTTTCAGTGTTCAATATTCTTAGAATTATGTAATTAAAAAAATCCAAAATTATATGTATTTACGTACTTATTAGGGTCTACAGAAACTTTATCTCCTTTTTTGAAGTTTGAAACATTACTACCAACTTCAATAACTGTTCCGGAAAATTCATGTCCCAATGTAAAAGTGTTGGTCTTGTTGCATGGAAATTCACCCTAAAATATTTTATTATGAAAAATTGACGCCATTAAATTTTGAACAATGACAGATTACGTGGTAACCATAGAAACCGTAAACTCACCCGTCACAGGTTTCTTGATACAAAATAATATATAAAATTTTAGTAATTGTTAAATATCTCTTAGGTAAATTACTAACTTTATAAAGGTATAGGAAAAGATATTTTATAGCATCTAGTAAACTATTTTTATAAAAATATTTTTTTTAAATTTTTCTCCTTTTATAGTATAGGTACATATGTATATATATACTTATAGAAGTATATGCATATAACCCATGGGTCATTCCATGACAAACGACACTAAGGGTGAAAAAATAAATATGTTCTTTTCGCATTAAATCTGATGAAGGAGGCCTGAACTTTTTAGGAAACGATAATGATAATAAAAACTTATTTCAATTTTTAGTTTTAAATTTTTTTATCATTACCATTTTTATTTGTACCAAGTTTTAATATCTGTGCAAATATTGTTTTGGAATTTTAAATATTAAAAATGTTATGAAATGTTGGCTATAAAATGTATGTATATAATAAGTAGGCAATCATATAAAAATATTATCTACTATTTACTTAATTATTACAATAATATTTCAAAATATGCATTATTTTTTTATATTTAGAATAATGATGTTTAGGGGCCTTTGCAGAAAATTCTCAATCCCGCCATGATTATTATTAATAAATTCTAATAAAAGTTTTCTTTAGTTAAATATTTCTGTTTTTTTTAATAAATTCTTTTCAGCAAAAAATTCGATGTAAAAAACAATTGAATTTGCCTCAAAAAATGATTTAATAAATTTCATGAAAACTCTTCTAATGGAGATACCCTGATAGCACACTTTATTCTAAGAATGTTTTTTAAACCTTCCAGTGAGAATATTCTTAGGATCATGCTATAGTATGATCCTAAGAATATTCTCACTGGAAGGTTTAAAAAACATTCATGCTATATGTCTTTTAAGCATGTTCTTTAGCAGACATATATATATTTCTGCTAAAGAACATGCTTAAAAGACATATAGCATGATCCTAAGAATATTCTTACTGGCCTATAGGCAGGTTCAGTGCCGGCGTGAGGCATGTGCAAACGGTGCGGTTGCACCCGGCCCCGCGTTTTATAGGCCCCGCGCGCATCAAGGCGTCTTAACGAAATTATTGTACATTATAGCAACATGGCAAGCTGTAAGCACAGCGTGACAAAATAATATCTGGTCATTGCCAGAGATAATATCTTTAGTAAGTATCGTCATCTATTATCATTCAGTTCAATGTTGCTAAATGTGTATTTGAAGTTGCCTGTATCCGATATTATTACGCCGAGAAAAGAGTTTTTCAAAATTAAAATTAATAAATAAATATTTAAGATCAAGAAGGTATGTGCCAAGAACGACTAGTGGGTTTGGCTATATTGTCAATAGAGGATGGTGGAAAAGAGCTTCCGCTAAAGCAGGAAAAAGATATGTGTGATTTTTTCTTAAACGTTAATTTCTATATTAATTGAAGGGAAAAGCTGAACCACCCAAGTGCATTTTTAAGTCAAAATTTTCTACTATCCGGTAACACGCTTAAAAAATTTTGACTTAAAAATGCGGTTTTAGCTCTAATCCCTTCAATTGGTTTTTCGTTTGATGTTTTATTGGTTTTATTGGTTTATTAATTTTTAGTTCAAGCCCCGCATTTTTCTTTTGCACCTGGCCTCTAATAAGCTAACGCCGGCCCTGTGCAGGTTCTTAGAAGTAGCAAAGTTTTAGTGGTAAAAATGTTAAGAAAGTAATTGCTATAGAAAGTTCATTTAGGAATATTCCTGTTAAGCATATTTAGTTCAGTTACCTATATAATAGTAAAATATAACATAAACTACGTATAAAGGTATATACCTATACTTAAGTACCTGTTTTAGTAATTAGTATTAAATACTAAGTAAAAAACACAATCCAAAATATTTGTTTATAGTTATTTATCAAATTAAAACAATATTCGATAACAAAAATACTTTTACTATAGGTTTTTTATTTTATGTTAAAAATAAATATTTATTAATTTGATACCGATTTTTTATTTCTGAATTAACATTTTTATGTATAATAATCCTAACTATCTAATCTGACTTATCCCACAAAATTTTCAAATTTTACTTTTTATGAAATAATGTCATACAACGTATGGTTTATAAACCTCTATAGAGGTCAAATTGTTTATTTAATATTTTTAAATAAATATGTATTAATATGTCGCAAATTTTGTTAAGGGGATGACAAATACATTTCACTGTCATATTATGACAGTGAGGCGTATTTGTCGTCTCCTGAAGAATTTTACGAATGTAGAATACAACATATTAGAACTTGGGTATCTAATATATTTGGAAATATTCTCAAAAGCTTCCTAGAAGCTCCATAAGAAACCTTCTAAGAACATTCCAAAAACGTATTCTTAAAATGTTCTTAGGACGCTTTTTAGGAAGATTTTAAGAAGCTTTTAAGAATCTAATTGCATCATTAAAAGGGTATCTATTGAATGTTTTAAAAGTACCTAAGAACATTCTTAGCAATAAGGGAAGGTTCTAAGAATATTCCATTATTCCAGGTCATATCTTAACTTTTTTCAAAATCACCATATTAATTAATTCAACACTTAAACATCCAGGTAACTAATAAAAATATTATATTTTAAATATGTTAAATATGTGTTAGCTTACTTCTATTATATGAAGGTCAGTTCCACATATTCCAGCATAGGCAACTTTGATTAAAATCTGATTGGGTAAAGACACCTTTGGAATAGGAATTTGTACCAGTTGCAATTTTTTTTCTCTAGCTGTATATTGTAATGCTTCCATGTTAATCGAAGAAGTACACGACACAAAATACGAATCTCAATTATATTTACCGAATCATTTGAGAATGAATAACATAGCAGTTTTATCAATCTTGTATGTCAAATAAGATAGGTGTGACATTGGGGTCATTTAACAAGATCAAGTTTGAAGTTGAATGATTTTGTTAATAATATTTGTTTTAGTACCAAATTAACTTTATTGTGTTTGATCTTTCATAATTATGTAGATATTACAGCTCAGGTTCCAGATTTTAAACCGCAATTAATTATTTTTTACAATGTTTTAAAAGTCTACAACCTATCCTCCGTGACTGTTACTCTTTCTAGGTTCACTAAGTAAATTAAGCACATCCAAAGCAATCGAATCAAATATAAAATATTATTAAAAATTAAAAGAAATAATTTTTATAACCATTTATGTAGGTATTACAAAAATTGATTCTATCCTCCGTGAATCTGTTTTTGCTTTAAATTTTATGCAACGGATGGCGTTTTAATCATTTTAAATAAACAAAAACCTCTGTTTACGACATTATAGATGCATGTGATTCCTGAAGGTCAGTTAGAATTTATATGCAGATGAGAGTGTTGCTGTTTTATAATTCAAAAGTTTAAGTTCATTAATCTGCTATTTAAAAACCTATCCACCGTGAAGTTTAATATCTCAGTAAGTAGATTTTTTTATAAATATTTTATGTATTTTTTAAAAATATTAAGGTGTCAAAAGATCCTAACCTCCGTGAAGATATCCTAAGCTCTAATATTCAAAATGTATGATTTCTTAAAATTCTTGCATTAGTGCAGAACCACTTATGTTATGTTATTACTAGACCTGGTGGCTTCCCAAAAACCCCATTCTAGACTAACAGTAAAACAACCAAAAATAAAAAAAAATCATTTTCACCGAAATCTGATTTCATAATACTGTAGAGCTTGTGGGTAAGTAAATTACCTTGAATTTGCACATAAAAAATTTTGACTTGGTAATTGTTTGTAAAAGTTAAAAATGCTAAACTGTATTCAAATTTACCTGTAATTGCCCACAGGAAAATTTTATAAAAATATAGCATTCTTCAAAATGTACGTACTTAATTTAATATTTTGTAATTTGAACGACAAATTATGTAATATTAATTAAACACGTTAATTTTTAAATACACGAACAATTTAATTTAAATTTGGTTCACCTAAATAAAACGTGCTACTCAGTGTTTTTGTACGCATTGGTATACATAATTTTTCTAGCTGTATCTACGAAATAATCTAAAAATAGATACATTTTTTATTTAAAACACCGACCAATTTTCAACAGTGTACATTTACAAAACAGTGTCCAAAAAATAATTACCTACCATGAAGTTTATTTGCAGTTTTTTTTTGTTTTTGTTAGTTCTTGTAAGTATTTTTGTTTATATTTTAACATTTAGTTAATAATAGAAATACAAAAATAGAATGTACCAAATATTTATTAGGCAGGTATACCTACCTACTAAGTATACTTTTATTTTTTATTCTATCAATAATATTTACGTTAATTTTAATCCACCTGTATTTTCTGCGAATCAACTATCTTGTGAAATAGTTATTTATGCATTAAGGCAGTAAAGTCATATTTTTTATCACGAATGTGGAAATTATTTGCCTAAATTAAATTCGTGTATAAAATGGCGTTTATCAAACTTGATACATAATATACTATTTTCTACTCCCACCTTTAAAACGCCCTTTATCGTACATGTTTTCAAGACACCAAGTGACCTTTTAAATACACATTGACAAGTTGTGGCTTTATAGCGCTTTAGTCACGGGCTGAAGTTAGCAACAGGTTTTTAGTCACGGGCTGAAGTTAGTTTTAAGTTAGTTGACAGTTGTCGAATGTCATACAATCGTTAAAATAAAGTGCCTTTCTTGTTAAATAATACTAAATGTGAAAATTATTTTATTATCTCAATACAAAAATACAAAAGTATTAAATAGTTTCTCAACGCCAATATTTGAAAAGTTTATAGGAACATTGTACTGACCTTTTAATTTCGCCGGCAGTAAACTATAACTTAAATTCGGGCACGGACTCCACTGTAAAGTCCTCATAAAACATTTTCTTTACTTTCACTGTGAAAAACCGTCAATTTTCAAGAACTACATTTCGATTTATAACCTTTATAATCTGTGTTTATAAAATATAAAAATTTGACATTTGACGGTGAAACACAGATTCCCCTATTGTTTCATAGATGGCGCTCTATACAAATTTTTGATTTTAATCATTTTAAGATAATAATAAGTATTTGTCGTAGAAAAAGTATAGTATGCACCTCGTTTATAAACTTTTCTATACACTATTTAGTTGCTGCTGAGGAGCAGTAGACACATCTTAAAATGTATAATGGGTTGCATACAATACTCGTATTAAATCGGCAGTAAAGTTCTACTTTACTGCCAATTTCTTTTACTTTACTGCCGATTGTTGACTACTTTACTGCCGATTTGGGATAAAACTTTTTTACAAAATTATTTCGTTTCAACATTATGTTCAGCGGTCATATTTTGTTTTAGGTCCAACTGACATATTCAAGAGAAATCAACTGCAATAATAGAGAGTTTGTTTGCTATGATCAAAACAGATTTTATCAGTGTGTCCAAAATGGTGCGAAAAGAGTCATCACAGGTGATCTTCAAAATTGTCCAAAAGGTTTTAACTGCAACAATGATGCCGACATGGAATGCGACAACGAAATAATTTTCATTGAAGAAAAGGAAAATGAAAAAGTTCCCATTAGAGAAAAACGAGAATCAATTATGTTGGATGTGATAGAAAAACAAGTGGAAAGTGACAATGAAAATCAAATTCAGGATTCTTTGTACAATGAATTTTAGATAAAATGTACTTAAATGTATTATTTCAATGTAATAAAAGAATTAAAATTATATAAATATATTAGTTTAAATAAAAAACAATAACTAAATTACCGAAAAGCAAAGATAATTCGTCAGTGTTGTGAAATGCTTTTTTTATTAAAATATTTTGTAAATAATCGTATATACAGGGTGAGTCATTTAACTTGAAACTTTGAAATATCTCAGTATGCATTTTACGAAAAAATTAAAAATTATTGATTTTTTAAGTACCCACGATTTTTTAACTAATATTTAAGTTTCCTTTGGTTACTTTAATTTTAAGGATTATTGTACTATTTTTAATAAAAATACCTCATTTAATTATTTGAAAAATTCACTGAATTTTAGAAAAAGACCTGTGAAATGTGTACTAACATTAATCAAATTAAAAATAATTCTATCAAATTTTTAATACGATTATCCAATATTTGACTGAATTATTAAAAGTCAGCTAACATCAAGCTAATATTTTGACCAAATCTGTAATATAAGCAACAAATTTAGCAATTTTTAATTTTTAACGCGTTTTAGTTTGCAGTTTCTCTTCGAGACAGGTGGTGTAGAGAATTGTGAAAGAACGATCCTGTCTATTCAACACAGCAGATTCCAAAACCGTTTATTTTGACTTCGCTCTCATAGTTTTTGCGATATATGTAGGTATAATAAATTTTATTAATTTCCACGTTTTTGGTTATTAAGAGTACCTAATATAGGTATGTTCCTACCAAGCATTTTTAATGTCAAGTAGACGTTAGGGACATGGATAATATTAAAATCGTGATCACAATCCACACAAGAAGGTCTGTTCGATTTCGTTGGCATTCGAACGAAAACTGTTGTGCGCACCACGTGGGATATCTCCAGCCACCATCTTTGATTAATTTGACGCCGTTAAATTAAATTTAAACAGTTACTTTTTAAGGTTTTAAACGCAAATATTTTAAAACTTTAAAAATTATACTTTATATTAGTCAATTAAACATAAAAAAACACTTGTTAAACTAAACCATTATTTAGATATTTTTTTGTATTTTGAACCAATAGATTATTATTTTATTGAGTTATTTTTTATGAAAGTTTGTGAGCTAAAATAAATGAATATTTATTAAACACAAAATTTAGTATATATACTTTACCCACCCCACTATCACAGCTTAGATCAATATTCCAGTCAATAATCAAATATTGAATTGATTAAAATAATACAATTTTTGATAAATTCAATATATTTTTTACTAACTATTTAGATAAATTTTGCACGAATCAATCAAATGATCTGATAGACTTTATCCTAATTATTCTTAATTTTGCCAAATTTTTTATAACTACTATTAAAAAAATAGATTAAATTGACCTAAAAAGTGCTTAATTTAATCCAAGAATTGGCCCAGATAACACAATACATGCCAGAAACATACAATTTATGTACTACGAGGGTTGCCTTTTATATTTCGGGAATAGAGAAAACAAACAACAATTAATCATCGTACATGGCTTTATTGTTTTTTAAAATATTCTCTATGAAGATCGACACACTTTTGCATGCACTTGAACCAATTTTCGAAGCATTTTTTTCACTCCAATTGAGGCACCTCCAAAACATGCATTTTGAACGCATCAACCGCTTCTAAAGACCCACACAGTCGACTGCTGTTTACTTTCAGGTTCATACGCATAGATCCATGATTCGTCACCTGTTACAATGTCATGAACATATTTTGAAGCACCGCCATCGTATTTTTTAAGCATTTCTTTTGACCACTAGACCCGAGACCTTTTTTGATCGATTCTCAAATTATGTGGGATCCAACGGTAACAATTTTTTCTGAAGGCCAAATGTTCATTTAATATTGAATGTATGCTGGTCCCACTAATGCCCAAGGATGACCCAATCTCACGATATGCCACATGATGATCTTGCATTACCCGTTCACGCACAGCATCAATATTTTTTGCAAGAACGAGTGATTTTGGACGACCTTCACGAAATTCGTCGGTGAGCGAACCACGGCCACGATTAAATTCGGAACACCACCGATATTCACTTGTTTTTTATGGCACTTTGTCGCCAAAAGTCAAATTAAGTTCATCGATGCATTATTGTTGGGATAATCCACGTTAAAGTTGTAAAAATTATAGCACGAAAATGTTCACGGGTCAATTCCATTTTTTTGGCCGACATTAATTTTTCAAGTGACTGTTAATAATACTAATTGCGCCCGCACGTCAAAACGTGTTAAGTAAGAACACCGTCTAAAAGGTTGAACTTAACGATACAGACATCTGTTGTCCGATAGCATCAGCAGGTTCGGCCATTCCCGAAATATAAAAGGCAACCCTCGTATTTATGCCCCAATGTTTCGGACTTAAATCGTATATCCCTGCGATGTTTCCTCAGTAACATTTCTGGTGTGATTTCCCCAAGATGTTGCATAAACATTTTAAATAGCTGATATTGGTACAAATATAAAATAAATTTATATCAAAACACATAACACACTATTAAAAAAATAACCAATCAATTTTTAGCAAAACACCAAATTATTATACTTTGTAATTTTTAAATTGAACGCGAACAATGACGTCATACTAGTTACTTTTTAAGTGATTGTTACCTGGGGAATTTTGTTTTGTTTTTTAAAAAAATAACCTATCAATTTAGCAAAAACGCCAAGATGTTGCATAAACCTTTTAAATAGCTGATATTGGTACAAATATAAAATAAATTTATATCAAAACACATAACACACTCTATTAAAAAAATAACCAATCAATTTTTAGCAAAACACCAAATTATTATACTTTGTAATTTTTAAATTGACCGCGAAAAATGACCTCGTACTAGTTACTTTTTAAGTGATTTTTACCTGGGGAATTTTGTTTTGTTTTGTAACCAACTTGTTACAAATATTAAATAAATTTATATCAAAACTATATACCTATAGATATATGATCAAAACACATAACACACTTTATTAAAAAAAAATAACCTATCAATTTAGCAAAACCACCAAATTCTTATAATATCAATAACTTTGTAATTTTTAAATTGACCGCGAACAATGTCGTCATACTAGATATTTTTTAATTGATTGTTACCTGGGGAATTTTGTTTTGTAACCAACGGCATCTCTGTAGGTTCGCGGCTTTTATTGCCAAGAATGACATTTCGTGAAAATCGAGAACGTTCTGTGTCGAGAATTTTCTTCTCGTTTTATAATGTGATCACAGTAATTTAAGACTTAAATTAAATTTTAAGTTGTACACTTTAAGTTATTGTTTTGTGTGGGTGGCCTGAGGCGTCTTTTTTGGTAAGTAAATTATGATGATTTGGTAAGAAAACATTATAAATATTATTATAATTAATTCTATATTAGTTTCTTTTTTAAGGTTTTATTTTTTGTGGGTATTGGTGGCAATAACCTGTATGATTTTATTTCAGACCAGGTCGCACAACAGCTTTCCTTTATTGGGAAAAAGGGCAAAAAAGATTTTAGCCAATCCAAGATTTCTAAAGCTGTTTTAGGTAATAACTCGTCGAATCCGCAAAACCTCGTATGAAAAAAACTGTAGTTTTACAGGAGACGAAAAAAACATTAAAAGCTCTCATATCTGGCTTTTTTTAAATATACCTATAGAACAAATTAATTTGTTTTTAAGGGTCTTGAGATTATCTTGGGAGATAAGAGGTTTTACAATCATGTGCATTATTATATTGACCCATGCAACGAAGACTATAATAACTCAAAAAACGTGGGTTTTGACTTACTATATGGCATCAACAGATTTTTTCAAGCTCTATTTGGTGGAAGATTACAGTAACTCAGACATGAAACGATAGGCAACCAGTGAACAACTTCCCTGTATAGTAAGTGTAATAATCCACATTCCTACAGGCGAAAACTAAGTTGAGTTACTCTAGTCTACAATCAAAACTGAGTTACAATAGTCTTCGTTGTATGGGTAGATATGAGGTAAGTACTTAATTATGCAAAAAAAATCGATTTTGTCAAAAATGTCTCAAACGAGTTTTTGCGGATTCATCGATGAAGAGTTTTGTAAATTTTTATCTATTTATTTTTATTTATGCGTATTTTCAGTTATGTTAATGGTTTTATGTTAATTAAATGATAAAAGTATTTAATGTTTTTTATTTAAGGAAAAAACCTATAAAAATTTCATAAATGTTTTGTATGAAACATTTCTGTTATGTTCTGAAAGTAAATATAAAATGTCTTAAAGACATACCTACAACATTCTAAGATGATCTCAAAACATCCCAAAAAGATGGCCGAGGGACGTTAAAAAGGGCGACATGGTCATTGCCAGAAACATTTCTGGTATATCTGTGGGAAAATAGGGTCATTCCTGGGATGTTTCTATTGTCGCATGCATATGTTTCTGGCATGTTTCTAGTATATACTTGTGTTATTAGGGGGTAAATTTAAGAAAATATTATCTGAATTCTAGAAAATCTTAGGCGAATTTAATTTAATTTTCACTATAATTTTCTAAATTTTGTAGTGATTTATAAAACTTATTTGCTGCTATTTATCACGGTTTGATACATTTAAGCCTATCAAATAATTCAATCGAATGAATTATTGATATTAGTCTAATTTTGGATTGGCGCTATATTGATCAAAAATTTGATTGTAATACTACCTTACTGGATTAATAGTATTCAAAATTTCTTTCCGTGTATTAGATTTTTGTAGAAAGAAAAGCAACTTTTAATTTTGGTTAGACATTTACTACAGACGTACTAAAACTAATTTTCCAAGCAAAGTAAATAAATTGCATTACTCCAATTTTTTATTTTCCTCTCATTTAAATTTTACAAAATAGGGGGGGCAGCTTGCACCCTTTTCCCCCTTGTATTTTATAATTACCTTAAATGTTGGGTTGGGTCCAAACTCCACTTGTTTAAAATTGAAGGCCTTGGTGCGAGAACAAGTCAAGTCAATTTTCGAGCTAAGCAAAAATAGGTTAACTGCACTAACTAATAAAGGTTGACACATTTTTGCTTCGCACGAAAAT